CATAGGGGCAAGTCTACCTTGGGGTGGGCCTAGTCACAGAGCTCTCTGTTACACTGCCTCTTCACAGGGGCAAGTCTACCTCAGGGTGGGCCTAGTCAGAGAGCTCTCTGTTACACTGCCTTTTCATTGGGGCAAGTCTACCTTGGAGCGGGCCTAGTCAGAACGCTCTCTGTTACACTGCCTCTTCACAGGAGCAAGTCTACCTTGGGGTGGGCCTAGTCAGAGACCTCTCTATTACACTGCCTCTTCATAGGGGCAAGTCTAACTTGGGGTGTGCCTAGTCACAGAGCTCTCTATTACACTGCCTCTTCCTAGGGGAAAGTCTAACTTGGGGTGGACCTAGTCACAGAGCTCTCTATTACACTGCCTCTTCATAGGGGCAAGTCTCCCTTGGAGTGGGCCTAGTCACAGAGCTCTCTGTTACACTGCCGCTTCATACGGGCATGTCTAACTTGGGGTGGGCCTAGTCACAGAGCTCTCTGTTACACTGCCTCTTCATAGGCACAAGTCTTCCTTGGGGTGGGCCTAGTCACAGAGCTCTCTGTTACACTGCCTCTTCATAGGGGCAAGTCTAACGTGGGGTCGGCCTAGTTACAGATATCTCTACTACACTGCCTCTTCATAGTTGACAACATTTCTTGTGGACAGATCAATGAATCTATGATGTCATCAATGGACATGCCCTGCCAACAATGGAAATAGCAGCCCATTCTAGGCAGATGTGTTTTACCATAAAGAAAACACTGGGGGTCCACATAATGTTCTAGAAGTTTTCTTTTAGTGATTTCTAAAAATATGCTACATTTTTATGTAGTTTGAAGATAATTTGTTTTTCCCAAGGCGCATACTTGTAATTAATATTAACTGGGAAAGTAGGATTTAGTTTATAGAAATTAAATGCCCAGCTCCAGGCATTCTCACTGGCTGCCCCCAGTCCTGCAATGTTCTCCCTCCTCATCTCTACCTCCTGGTTTCCCTGGCTTCCTTCAATCCCAGGTAAAACCTCACCTTCTAGAGGAAGCCTTCCTCCATCCCCCTTAATTCTAGTACTTTTCCTCTAATTATTTCCAATTTATCCTAGATATAGTTTGTTTGTACATAATTATTCGCATGTTGTTTCCTCCTTTAAACTGTGAGCAGCTTGAGAGCTGGGACTATCTTCTGCCTTTCTTTGTATGCCCAGCGCTTAGCACAGTGCCTGGCATATAGTAGGTGCTCAATAGATGCCTGCTGACTTACTGATTACATATATCTGAACCTCATGTTACAGAAGAGACAGTCCTCAACTTACAGTTATCAGACAGTGGTCTTCACTTAGAACATTCTTCCAGTTAGATCCTTAATATTACTCTGTTGTACTTAAAGCAAGTGGCATACCCACGAACAAAATACAACTAGCCAGTTTTGGGGAAATCAGTACTAACCTCAAACACAGGAGAAAGAACAACAATCTGATTTCAAATAGTTCTGCATGCTTCAAGGAAATTTTTAATGGTTAACAGGAAGTTGGACTGGGTGAATTCTAACTCAAGGTTTCTTTCAGCTTTAATAGTCTATGATTCCATACCCTGAAGCATAATTTTACTCTTTAAATGATTATAGAGTTATATAATTTTTGTATCTTTTTTATGAGACTGTTGGTTTCATTAATGATTCATCTGATGCTTAATCTCAACCCTCAGTCAGGAATATATCCACCAATTTTAACACTTTTCCTTGGGGAAAATTTAACTCACATTATAGCAATCCACTTTAAAATGCAATTTCCAGGACCACATTGTGGTGAAAATTGAGCACTCTTTGCAACCTCTTTGTGTACATACTTGCCCCAGGGCTAAATGAAATCATACTAATGGTTAATGGAAGAATAAAGGTTTCTTTTCTGTGACACAGCCTCTAAAGAATTGTTTTGCTGTGGCAGAGGTTTAAATGGCTTAAAAACCTAGTGGGATGCAGTCTTTCAAAAATCAATATTAAAGAAAAAAAAAGAATCAATATTAAGAAAAAACATTAAAAGAACATACTCCAAATATTATATTTGTGTAGACATGTATAGCCTACATAAATATATTAATATAATTCTGACATTATATTAAACATAATTTTTTACTTTTTATTTTACACAAAACAGTTTTTTATGAAACCTTTGCATAATAGAGAGTTTTGGTTTTAACGCAAAACACTGGATATCCTAATAAAATTCATTTTTTTGAAATATGATAGTTTTTTCTTTGGATAGGTAGAAGCTTTATAGGTTTATTAAAATAAGTTTCTTTCTCTTTAAAGAAACATGTAAAATCTTACCTAATGTTTTAAATGTTTCTAATTCTTCTTGTAACATTTGAGTATCTGGAATTTCAGAAATCAACGGAGCAGGTGGGAGAAACCAACAGGATGACATTTTATCATCAGCATACCTAGAAATAATTCAAAATAAAACATAACACCTGTCATAATTGCTATAATAATAAAACATATAATAGTATTATAATAATTTCACAAAGTATATAACCATAAGTAATATTTATTAAATGTCAGTAGTTTACTTATTATCTATCAGAATAACATTATGAAATAAACTTTTTTTCTTTACACTGATCCCTCCTTCCTCTAAATTTATTGCTGCTACATCATGATAATTAATCACATACCAGTATTGTAATATAATGTAATCTCTGTATGTATGTATATATGTATGTGTGTGCGTGTATGTACTCGAGCACTCACACATGCATGCGTGCACGCACACACACTGTTAGAAAAATCTGAAACAAAAATCTACTACAGGAGAGTGTGAAGGAAAGCGAGGAGTGGGCACACCGTACCCCAGTGGCACGTGCGCACTGGTACAGCAGTAGAATCAACTTTTAAATGGTTAGTAAAATCCATACTCCTCCCATCTGAGCCCAGAATTGGACCAGTTCATCTGAGTTACACTCTTCCTGAACCGCCCATCCCATGTTCCTCCATGTTCCTCCTTCTCATGTTAGCCCCACCTAGATCATGCGTCCCATGTTCAAAAATGGCAGCTATCTCCACCCTTGGGGTGTGTCAGTTAATATTCAATAAGTTTATTAAGCAAGTACAGTAGAGAAAAGCCTTTGCACTGTCCTTGACCAGATGGGTTGCAACTGGTTTAGCCTACAGGGCTTTTTCTTAAGGAACTAGTTGTTTGCAGAATGTTTGGGGCATTTTCTGATTGGTTGAGGGACCACGCACAAGATCTTGGAAGTCCTCAGAATTCTCTCGTTCTATTGTGTAAGCCTAACTTCTAATACTTACACACACACACACACACACACACACACACACACACACACACACACA